TAATAATATCTCCTACTTTTCTAACACAAATATTTAAACACATATTCCTAAGATAAATGTTTACATACTAAGGAATAGGTTTATACTTTCAAGATAGAAATTCACTTAAGTGTTCTTGTAAAAATTTAAAGGTCCACCCATGTGGGGGAAAAGAAATAGCTGAGAAGATCTGATTTTTAATGATGAGGTAGAAAATATATGGAAATTTATTCTAGGTTTAATCTAAGTGTATGAAGTTTTAATAACATTCTAGAAACACAATGTATGTGTATATTTCCAAAGAAATAGAAAAGCACAGATCATACAGTTAAGAAAACTGAGACAGAAATCATTTTCTTGCAAGGTTGAGGGTAATTAATTTCAACTTATCTGCAGACATCAATCACATTAAGAACCAGAGGAGTCAACACTCAGCTGTTCTTCCTACTGCAGAACTAATAAAATGTCACACTGGTTAGGTGTCCTTAAGAACACCTTGGTACCTCTTCACTAATCTTAATACAACATATGGAACGGAAAGAAACATCGTCTGTCATCCACTACTTTCAGGGTTTAGTAAAGAACAAAGCCAAATGAGGATGAGGTTGATGATGATTGATAAGGATGAATAAGGATGAATGATGATGATGATGATGATGATAAAAGTTAGGGGATCACAAGTAAATGAGAAGCTCTGAGGAAGATGCTTATATACCTGCACATGTGTATTCCTAAAGGCATCAGTGAGTCATTCATAGTTCAAGCACTGTTCTAGGCACAGGGAACCCACAAAGAACAAGAGAGATGAGATGTCCCTTGGTTAATGCAGCCCCATAGATCAACATACTTTTGTTGGATCCAGTCTTGCACTAAAATCTTCATACCTCTGCCTCCTGAGTAACTGGGATTACAAGTATGCACCACTACATATTACTGGCTTCATATTACTCTTAAATGCAAGTACTGAAAAGCAAATGATGGAAATGAACTTGCCAAAGACAGACCAAAAATGGCAGAACAGAGATTAACCTCACAAGTTAGAGAGGATAGTCAGCAAGGGAGAGAACACAATGCAGATTGATGTGACAAAAGGAATTTAGCTCCATAAACATGTCACTTAACTTTCAAGGTTCCATAGATTTGGGGTTGTTTTGCCAGAGTTGGGGCTTGAATTCAGCCTTGAGCCCTCATTCAGCTTTTTCACTCATTACTGATGATTTACTAGCTGAACTATGTCTCCAGTTCCAGCTTTTTGCTGGTTAATTAGAGATAAAAGTTCCTTGGACTTTTCTGCTTAGGTTGGTTCAGATCCCTAATCCTAAAATCTCAGTCTCCTCCTCAGTGGCTAGGATTAGGGGCATTAAACACCAGCATCCAGCTCCAAGATTATTTTTCATTATGTATTCACAATTTTGTCCTCCCCATGTCCATCTTTTTCTACATTGCTCCTGCTCCTTTTTCTAAATTGCTCCTGGCTGTGTGTGCGTGTGCATGTTGTGTGCACGTGCTTTTCTGTGTTTCTAATTTCAAAGTGCATACAGACAGAAGGCTTTCTTGGGAGACAAAGACAACAGAAAAGTCAGAAAGGAGTCATCCTTAGTTTTTAAAGAATATAATTTTGTGGTGCCTTAATAAAGAATTTTATGAAAACCTCTAATAATTCTCCTTGCCTTTAAGGGGGAAAAAGATTAAAATCAGAGCAGAAAGGCTTTACAATGATCAAAAAGGGTACAGATTTCATTCATATAAACATAGAGGCTTCATAACACTGGATTTAACTTCCAGTCACCAGTTTTTCTCGACTAATGCATCTAACACTTAAATTAACTGCAGTCAAAGCACTCAGGATCATTTATCCTTGCCTTAGTTCAACAAGAGTAACAAAAAGGGGAGAGCAGACAGGAATGGCAAGCAGGGAGGTGACACTGTCATCCACTGGCTATGTGATCCTGATACTCAACTATCAGTCTGCTCAATAAAACACAGTCCACACAGCCGGACAGTAGAGGTACATACAATTCTGCATTTTTTTAAATTAAAAGACTCCTAATTAAGAATCTAGTTTTGTAGAGGGGCTGGGAAGGTGGCTCAGTGGTAGAGCACTTGTCTTGCATGCCTGAGGCCCTGGGTTCGATTCCTCAGCACCACATAAGAAAAAAAGCCAGGAGTGGCACTGTGCCTCAAGAGGTAGAGCCCTAGCCTTGAGCTGAAGAGCTGAGGGACAGCACCCAGGCCCAGAGTTCAGGCCCCACAACCAGACCCCCCCCCCAAAAAAAAAGAATCTAGTTTTGTAGAAAACAAATTACTTCCAAATCTCTTACTTAGAACAGATTTTATAATTAAGATTTTTTTTAAAAAACCAAACTTTCAAAGACTGTCTTCAACCTACTTTACCATGATATTAACTAAAACCAAAATGCAGTAATTCCAAATATTTCCCTTACAAAGGAAACGAGAGAGAGCAGGAGAGAAATGGAGAAAGGAGTCTCTCTCTCTCTCTCTCTCTCTGACCTCTCCTTGCCCCTGAAATCTTGTTCTCTTCAAAGCAGACCATAAAAATATAGAATTTCTCTTTCCCAATGCAAGTCATAGAAACTAAAAAATATTCCACTCTGATATTCTCCTGCGTTGGAGCTAGCCATGCAGAAATTCTCTAATCTGATAGCTTCTCCTTTTCTAGAGGATCCTGCCCTAACCTAGGAGAAATGAATGCTGCAAAGAGCCCAAGAAGCCACTGAGCAGACAGGCCTCACTGATTCCCCTGCCCTCTCTGGGAATACAATCATGCCCTTTTTGTCCAATCCCATTTGGTTATTCAGATTTTCCTCATGCCTATGCAATGAAGTCTCCATGAAAATCCAGAGGCTTAGGTCTGCAGAACTTCTGGCAGCTGAGCACATAAAGACTTGCAGAAGGGGAACAAGAGTTCACCCGTGTGCCATGAGCATGATACACCCCAACTCTCCAAAAACCGAAGCTCCTGCACACAAGACTCTCCTTCTCTTACTTTATCTATCTCTTTACCTGGCTGATTATACTTGTACCCTTTGAAGTATATTTTGGAAAGCTGGGCATGAGGGCTCATATCTGTAATCCCAGCTACTTGGGAGGAAAATATATACTGAGAATATTGAGGTTTGAAGTCAGCCTAGGTAATAAGTTCATGAAACCCTGTCTTAATAACAACAATAAAATGCTGGGTGTAGTGCCACCATGCTCATGGTCCTGGAGGATGGTAGTATAGGCTTCCTCTGCCTACCCCACCCCCCCAAATATGTGAGGCCTTATTTAAATTAGGAATTTAAATTCCTTATTAAATAAATAAATAAAAAGGGTTGGAGGTATGGCTCAAGCGGTAGAACTCCTGTCTACCAATTATGAGGTCCTGAGTTTAACCCCCAATACCACCTGAAGAAATAAAGGAAGGGAGGAAGAGAGAGAGAAAGGGAGGGAGGGCAGGAAGGACCCTCTGGAATAAAGTAGTAAATGTAAATATAGTATGTCCTAAGTTCTGTCAGCAAATGAAGTGAATGCAATTCAGAGTGTTGAGAATCCCGGTCAGGCAGAAGTTCCAGAGTCACATACTTGTGACTGGGTCTGAAGGAGGTGTAGTGGACTGAGCCCTCAATCTGTGGGGCCTGATGCTACTTCCATGTAAGAGCAAAGATGAGCTACCTGGCAGGGGAAGGAAGATGCCACACATTAGGGGATCAAGTGGTTTGGGTTGTAGAAACTGAGTTTGTTTCTTCTGCATGTTCAGATAGCCATTCAGGGTTTATCAGATGCTTCTCACTTTTGTTCATCACATTCATTCATGAACTGCACTGTCTAGAATTTTGCTCAAGGATCTTGTTCATCTGGACACTGTGCTATTTTTGACCTCCCAAACTGTTCTCTAATTCTTTGCTACACCTGATGATCAAATGGAAGGAAGAGTGAAAAACAAGAAGGATGAGGACCAAGACACTGGGAAGGAAATAGGGGAGAGTTTCCTTGAGTTTTTCTGGCCTGTGAAAGGTTTCATTCAGTCCTGCTCTCCCTTATCAAAGTGGATACACCAATAACTGTTCAGTGCATGAAAATGTGGAAAATGTGGATGGAATTTTCTCCCCTATTTGGAATAAAGAATTTGCATTTTAAATTTGTTAATTTGTGTCCCTTAGTAACATAAACATACTTACTGACTTCAAGATATAATGAAGGAAAATGAAAACAGCATCCTCTTGAAGAGTTATAATACAATTAGAATGTTTACTACAGTGGAGTCCTTCCCAGCATACCAAGATTGCAGAACCAAACAGGAACAATTTCATTCACACTTCTTTCTTTCTCTGAGATAGGAGCTCACCGTACAGACCAGGCTGGCTTTGAACTTGCAATTCTCCTGTCTTAGCCTCTTGAGTTCTGGGCTTACAGGAATGTGCCAACATGTCCAGCCAGACAGTCTTATGTTTTCTTCCTCTCAAAGAATGTGAACACTGATCTAGGTGTTGCTGTTTTCTTGAGACAAAATGAGTGCATCTATTTTCTTAATAGAAAAAAAATAAGGCAATCTTCACTAAATGGCCATCTGTTTAAGGCTAGAATAAAAGCTGCTGACTATATCGTGCTCTAAAGGTTGAAGAAGCAAAACCAGGCTGTTACTTAGGACATGGCCTGGTATGATAGGATTGCTTGTTAGTCTGGTAAATTCTGGTTATCACTGCTTTCCTGGGAGGGTTTGCAACCTAACATCTACACAGCTGTTAATACATTATAGACCAGCTGACCAGCTTCTTCCTAACTCTTCATCTGTAACACACAGGACACTTTCAGAGTCAAGTGCAGATATCAGTCTACGAGAAAATGCTTCATTTCCTTTTCCCTCATTTTATGAAATAGTACTGAAAGAAAACAATTGTACAACCTGAGATAACATGATAGAAAGGCAGAAGTCTCCTTGGGAAATCAACTAGAACAAAACAATTGCTTTTGAAATGATGCTTCCTGGAAAAGCAACCTGGGTTTGTAAACTAACTTACCAGTGATGCCGTTGGGCTCCTGCTGCAGGTCACAGTACCAGAGTCGGTTTACCGGGTCACAGCCCTCCCAGATAGATAACAAAACATAGCGACCATCATCAGACAACTGTGGGGGACAAAATCAGTGCAGGGCCTCATCAGAACAGACTTTTGATGAACAGATTATTAAATACTAGGTTAAAAAAAGAGAACGTTAACTTCAACTGCAGTCACTTACCTAAGTTTCTGACAATAAAATAATGTAATTAAAAAAAAGAACACCAATTTCTTCTTATCTCACTTAGTCAATTTTAGACAGTGAATTATTTAAGTAGAAACTATTAGTAGATATAACTGAATGTCGTAACGACCTCAATGTGATTATTTCATTTTAGACACTAATATCCTCAATGTTCATGGATTATGTATTTTAGAAATAATGGTTCTAAGTCAGTAAGGATAGCCAAGGGAACTCTTGCAAAGTGGGTCTATCAACAGATGCTACTTTGTGGCAATAGTATATGAGTCCCTATTTTCCATACCTTTATTGTAATAGTTTTATTTCAACTTGGCTTATTAACCATTATTCAAGATGGTTCTGTATGGTATTTCGGAACAAAGGAGATTTTCCTCCATAACCTGGATGGACTTCATTCCATCTGCTAAATATCTTTTTTTTTTTTTTTTTTTGCCAGTCCTGGGGTTTGAAGTCAGGGCCTGGGCACTGTCCTTGATCCTCTTTGTGCTCAGGGACAGCACTCTACCACTTAAGCCACAGCACCACTTCCATACAGAAGATCTTAAGAAGACAAAAACTAACTTCTCTGAGCAACAATGAAGCAAGTCAGCCAGCAAACAACACTTCTTTCCTAACTCTTCTGCCTGTGAGCCTACTCTGTAGACTTAGGACTTGCCAAACCCTCATAATCATGAGTCATTTCTTTAAAATCCTATATTTATAAACACACACAAACACATCATTTTCTATAGACACCCTTAATACCAACTATTTTTTCATTTGCTCATTCAAGAGACATTTGCTAATCAGCAAGTACGTATAAAATGTGTTTGTAAAGAAACACCAATGAACAGTTCAGAAAAAAGTGAATCTAACACAGGAGACGAATACATAAGTACAAAATTATGCAGCAATTCCATATATACTGCTCAATGCTAAGGAGAACACCGATAAGTGCAGATAAGGTAGCCAGGATGTGTGGAAAGGATTGGAGTTTTAAATACAGAAATCAAGAAGGGTGTATTTCCATTGTTTTCTTACATACACTGTTTCACATGAAAAGTCTGAACATTCATTTCTTATACATTTCCTGGTTTGGAATGTTTTCCTCTTTGGCTGCTGTGTTAAATAGAAGGTTGTGCTTACTTCTGTTTTTCTCTTTGTAATGCAGTTTTAATTGTCCTGCTTCAAATTCTTTTTTTTATTTAGTATCTATAAACTATTAGCTTATGCAGAAAATTACCAGTTCAAAATTTATTTTTACCTCTAAGAGAATGGGTAATTCCTTTTTATATTTCCTACTTCTTTTGCTTAGTATATTAACATTTTTCTGGAAACTTAAAAAAATTATTTTTGTAACTTTTTATGTCATTTTAGGATCTATTTCTATTGACCAGTTTTTATAAGTCAGTCTCCTGCTTCTTTATACATGTATTAAGTAACTTTAAAAGTGGATTCTGGACCTTTTGAATGTTGTGTCGTTTATTTTTCCTTTCCTAATCTGCCTGTCAAATGTTCTGAAGCAGTAACTTGATTGGTAAGTGAGCCAGATTTATTTAAGACTTCTTTGTAAGATTTGTTGGGTGAAGACCATAGCTCTACTGGTCTTTCTGAGTTATCTACTGAACATCTACATGTTCACAAGGCCTTTCTGCTCTGTCAGAACGGAAATTTCCCAGCCTTGTCAAACCTTTGATGGTTGTCAGTTGACAGTTCCCTGGTTGTTGCTCTTAGCCTGAAACTTGGAATCTGATTCAATATACACACATCTTAACAGAGAGCCAAAAGCTCTCTGTTTCCAAGTGGTTTCCAAGGCATAATTTCTGGGTATTTCTCTCCTTTGCTCTGCAAATCCCGAAGGCTTAAATCAGTAAAACATATATACTAAATTCCTCCTATTTTTGCTGGGGTCCACAAACTATTTGCAAGCAAAAAGCTAGGGCAACTGTAAGACTCATCTCGTTTTGAGTTACAGTTGCTTTTTCTAGTTTTCAAACCGTAGACAGGCGGGCTGGCCAGTATATTACCATATCAAGGCCAGGAGCAGAAATCTGCCATTTTATCTTAACTGTGTTTTCTGCAAATGAATGCAATGTGATTTAACTATAAAAATCCAATCTGTATGTTTTAGTAATTATTACTGCTTATTGGTTTCCACACTTAAACATTCTATTCACTTTGCTTACTCCATTTTTTTCTTTCCTTCCTTCCTTTTTTTTTTCCTGGTGCTAGACCCAGGGCCTTGTACAAGTTCAGCACACACTCTTATGCAGTTAATCTACATAGATCTCCAACCTTACATTAAATATAAATTTCTTTATAAACATTTTTCCTTCCTGGATTTGGGAGTTACACATTCTATTTTCATTAAGCTTTTAATACATACACAGTTAATAAGCTCATGTTCAGAATTTTAGTTCCACCTTACTTTTAGACTATCCTATATTAAAAAATATCATCAGTAATCCCTCAGTTAATTCTGATGAATATAATCGAAATTAGCTTTATTAACAATACTTCAAGCTTTTGTTCTTTTATCCTCGAACTAAAAGCAGAATCTGAACAGCTTAGTGCTTATAGTCAGGCTACATCCATCATAAATGATGGCTAATTCAGCCTGAGTGATCCAGTCAATAGGAAGACACAGTGAAATTCACTGCAGGAACCACACCAGGCTTTCCAGGGCAGCTGGATCCAGCACATTTAATGAGTTCTTCTCTGAATTTCCTTCTGGACTAAATAGCTCTAGCGTATATATTTCATCTGAAGTAGGAAGTCCAAAGCATACTACAATGAGAATACCAATGAAGTCAGCCTTCTTCCTATCATTATTTTCTTCACTATAAGCCACTAAAACCTAAGCTGAATGAACATGCTTTCAAATGCTCAGGTATCTCAGATCTCAAAATCATTTGAAGGTCATTTATTCTAAAATGTACAGATTAGAAATACACCTTTTCCCACAAAATTTTATCAGCAGCAACATTTACTTAGCAGTAGCTTCACACTTAAGACTATTTCAAGGCAATTTTAAAGACCATTTCTCACAAGTCCTTAGGCAGGGACTGATAAGACCTTTGGAATCGTAACAGATTAAAGCACCTTTTCTGAAGGCCAGAGAAAAAGCAGGAGAGCCAAAGGTCCTTCTATAAAAGCTTGGTGAAACTGCATAAATTCCATTTACAAAGAATTATTTTAAGCAGTGATACAGGCTAGAATAATTGTGCTCTCTGGAAGCAATCTGATGAAAACACACTGACTTTTTGAAACACAATGACCATAACATTAGCCTGGCCAGTTATGAAATATGTAACTCCTAAATCTGTAATTTTTAAAAATCCTTTCTTCTCCTCTGTGTTGCTAGCATTTTAAGCAAATTTCCCTTAAGTCAAAGACGTTTTATCTCATGGAAGTCTACCATTTATGCAAATAGATGCAAATAAAACATTAACAAATGCAAAATTCTAAGAGTCACTGTAAATGAAAAAGTAACACTTGCTGGTATTAAATTCATGACTTGCATTCCTAATACTATGAAAGACAAAACTTTCCCCATCCTGACTACTACCACTTTTTAATATACAGGTTACTTTGACAACCTAATTCTGTGCAATCATTTGGATTGTATACTGAGAATACAGATTAAATAAAGTTAGAAAATAACCAAGGAGGGCTAAGAATGTGGCTTAGTGATAGAGTGCTAGCCTTGTATGTGTGAAGCCCTGTGTTTGATTCCTCAGAATCACATACACAGAAAATGGCAGAATTGGCAGTATGGCTCAAGTGGTAGACTGCAAACGAAGCCAAGGGACAGTGCCTAGGCCCAGAGTTCAAGTCCCAGAACTGGCAAAAGAAAATAGAAAAAAAGAAAAAAGAACCGAGGAAGAAGAAAGCATTAATGATAAAAAGTATGTGAACAAAGGAGAAGACCTAGATGTACAAAGAATGTGGTATTGTATAGATGTGCTAAGGAACAGTTGGCAATTCTCTAGTGGTTGGTTTTTCAATATTCACGACCAGGCAAATATCCACTGAACAAAACAATAACAACAAAAAAATCTAAATATCCCCCTCCCTTTTGCTTCAGCCTTTGTGACTAACAGAAGGCAACTCCAAGCTAAGAGTAAGGAAGTAATTCATTCTTTCCTTTTCTGTGACTCCTTTCCTCGAAAGCTCCTCAAAGTTCACTTCCCTTCGCACTGGAGTCCTTGTGAAAGGGAAAGTAACTTGCTTATTTTGGTTAAGGCTACTTTAATGTACCAGTGGTCACTGTAAAATGACCTTCAGGTGGTCCAAGACCAGTTTGCCAAAAGAGCCAAGCACAGCAAAAGGTTCAAGGAGAAAGCCTAAAGTATATCCCTTTACCCAGAGTGGATAGGGTTGGCCACGGTGGCTACTAAAGGGAATTGGTTTCAATAGAATAATCTAGGTCCTAGATAACCTTCCATCTCATCTACTAAAGAAAGGTCACCAAACACACTGAACAATAGGTATTCATGGCTGAGGCTGTTTGTTCAACCAGTATTTGAGTATTTGAGTTCAATCACACCTGCTGCTGAACTGGGCTCTCACATACAAAAATCAATAAAACAGGGCCTTCAAGAGGTCATGATAAAGATGTAGGAATAGACACAGAAACAAAAAGAATCATTTATAGTGTAGAACACTAAGAGCAAGGGCTGCAAAGTATGATGGGAGTGGCAGACAGGAGCACTGTAAGAAGGCAATTGGGAAGAAAAGGGAGATGACAAAGGATTTAAGGAAAGATGCCCCTAACTGACCCTCAAAGGAGAGGTAGAATTCGCTTAAAAGTAGTCACTTAGAATTTTCCATTCTTACAACTGCTATGAGAATGTAGGCTATCCACCACCAGTATTAGGGAGCTGTGA